AATCTTTAGTATCATCATGTTAATACTGTTAAACATAATTTACAGCAAAGAAACCTAATCTCATTTGTGGTCATCTTTAATCTCTTGTTAATCTCTGTGAAAGTTGAACTGTCATTGAAACTTAAAAGAAAAATCTTCAATAAAACAAAACTTCTTCCGAAGATATGCCCATAATGCCTACGTAATCTTACTTTGAACTATTGCATATTCTTCAAAGTGCTTCAAAGCACTCATACCTGTCATGTTCAAATCCTTTGAGAAGCTCACATCAGCGCTATTCTAAAATTCACTACATTTGCTGCACACAAAAAAAAAAAGACATGGACGGAACTCAAATCGAGTATTCCCATTTGGAGTTATATAAAAACGCAGTTGCTTTAACCTGAAACATCTGTTCGCCTGCAGGAATAACCATACATTGTTGCATTGCTAAATTGATGACAACAAAGGAGTTCGTTAATTTACAATTAGAAGCTTAAGCTCTATCGAAATCCATAACAGAATCAAAGTTCATGACATGTTACATCCTTTCAAACATTTTTCGTTCAATTTTATTTGTTTTTGTTTCTTTTTTTTATTGCTTACGATATTTAAAATTCCCAATTGTATTTTGTCAAACGTGAAAAATTCCTAGAGGGAATTAACAAACCTCCACATACCTGTACGCTGTAACTGCTTTGAACAATAGAAGCTACTAGTGCGCATATAATCGTTCTAGTACTCATACTCACTTAGTCCCCTTCTCCTTTTTTGTAACAATTGTTTTCTACTCCAAGTAGAATCGACTCCTTCGTTATGTCGATTTTCGTTGAAAATGTGAAGTACTGATGCGTTCAGCATTGGATAGATTCGAACGGTACTATTTATGTCCACTGCAAAAAGTCTACTCTATCGTAGTCCATCCATATTTATGTTTCGTTTCTACTTTATGAATTTCTTTCGTACTGCTGTCGAATACGAAAACCCGATTGTTACTGCCTCATACCAGTTTCTCAAAAAAATCAAGTAATACCAGGCTTACTCTATACCATATTGCATGAGCAGTAAATACAATAGAAAAGTGCCTGCAGTACTTTAAGCTTTTACTGCATTTACAGTTAAGTGTAAAGTATTATTTTATTTTTTTTTTTAATTTTTTCTGCATTTTTTTGTATATTTTGTCCTTACGGAACTTAAAATTCCTACATAAAAGTTATTAGCAACAATGCAGAAATTCAAAATTTGCATAACATTGATCACAGATACATTTGTAGTATATGCCCTGAGATGCTTCTGCTTAAACTTAATCCAAAAAGCATGCCTTTGGTACGTTTGATATTTGGTTCGAATATTTTTCAATACATTAGTTTAATTACTTACAATTATAAATTCTTTTGTTTTAAATTTAGATATATCAATATAATAAGATAATAAAGTGTTAAGCTTATGTACACAAATTATAAATTGTAATAAATTCAATACAAATACATTTAAGATAGAT